GGGAGGGGTTGATAAGGGGGGGAGGGGGCTGTGGGCGTGATCTAAGAGAGGTGGGCGTGGTTTGATCGCGAATTTTGGGCGCTGGGCGGGGTTTTACGGGAGGTGGGCGTGGTTTAAGGGGAGGTGGGCGTGGTTTATGTGGTAACCGCTGTTACCGCCCCCTAGCGGAGCGGCAGGCGCGAGCGCTCCGCCCATTGCCCCGCCCACCGCAGAGCATCGGCCAATGGAGAGAGGCGTGAGTAAAGGGGCGGGGCTTCGCCGAGGGGGCGTGGCTTGGGGAGGGTTTGGCGGGAAATTTGAGGAAAATTGGCGGGGTTTGGATTTTCCCGCCCTTTTTTTTTTTTAATTTTTGGGAATTTTCGGAAATTTGGGGGAAAATTGAGGCAAATTTGGGAATTTTGGGGGTTCTGGGTGGAATTTTCTGGAATTTTGGAGCTTTTCCCCAAAAATTTTGGATTTTTTGTCCAAATTTTGGGGATTTTTACCCAAATTTGTGTTCTTGGGTGATTTTGATGAATTTTGTGGAATTTTGGGTCAAAATCCCCAAATTTTTGGTAAAAAATAGGGATTTTTTCTGATTTTCATCGATTTTTTGCCAAAATTTTTTCCATTTTTCCAAATTTTGGTTTTTTAATGGATCTGAGGAAATTCCCAGAGGAATTTTGGGTCAAAATCCCCAAATTTTGGGCCAAAAATTGGAATTTTTGGTGACTTTCATACTTCTTTTTTTCCCCAAAATTTTGGGATTTTTAAATCAAAATTTGGATTTTTTCCCCGAATTTTTTTTTTATTTTTCCCAAATTTTCTTTTTTTGACGGATTTGATAAAATTCCCAGTGGAATTTTGGGTTAAAATCCCCAAATATTGGGCAAAAATCAGGAATTCTTTCTGATTTTCTTTGGGTTTTTCCCCAAAATTTTAGGAATTTTTTTGCTCAAAATTTTGATATTTTTCCTCAATTTTTTGAGTTTTTTTCCCCAAATTTTTGTTTTTTAATTGATTTGATAAAATTTCTGGTGAAATTTTGGGTGAAAATCCCCAAATTTTGGGCCAAAAATTGGAATTTTTGGTGACTTTCATACTTCTTTTTTTCCCCAAAATTTTGGGATTTTTAAATCAAAATTTGGATTTTTTCCCCGAATTTTTTTTTTATTTTTCCCAAATTTTCTTTTTTTGACGGATTTGATAAAATTCCCAGTGGAATTTTGGGTTAAAATCCCCAAATATTGGGCAAAAATCAGGAATTCTTTCTGATTTTCTTTGGGTTTTTCCCCAAAATTTTAGGAATTTTTTTGCTCAAAATTTTGATATTTTTCCTCAATTTTTTG